TGTGGCGTTAGCACCTTGTTTGTCTGCAAGCCGGTGTTAAACACACACACACCTACATGCATCAGTGAATTTATTGGGAATACACTGAGAAAGATAGTTTTATCTTGTAAACGATTAACCGTGTACTTTCATACGGCGGTTTTGGTTGCAGCCTTTTGATTACCCAATTGGATGAGGTAGAAAGGTGGGATCAGTAACACGGTGGAGATAAAGATTCCGGTATATGCATATTATGAAGAAATTGTGTGGATGCATGAGTGTCTCTGTTTATGGCACTCAGTCCAATCACTCAGTGTCTCTGACAAACGATTATACCGATCCCTAACCAGGTGGGGGGGCTAAAGCGACAGTAGCTTTGCTGTCGTCCGGTTTAATACCTCGCCTGACCTATTGGTTCGCCACTCCAGGTCCCGGGTCTTAGGTTACCGCTTCCATGACGGAGCAGCAGATCTTCCGGACTATGGTGTTCACCCCGTCTGTGATAAAAAAATATGTGACCGAGTCACCTGGTCAGGGTTTTCACGCCCTCATGTGTATATATAACACCGGCTTGTAGACAAGCATGGTGCCAACACCACAGCAATAATAATAATAATGACCACTTTCTATCCTCCAACCATCACCCACCTTGGCGATCATCACACTCTGAGGCAACCTATTTAGCGACATCTGTAATAGGGAAAAACTGAAAGGTTTTCAAGTGTTTCGGGCTTTTAATGATGACTGTTAGGAGCACCGACTATGGGGGAGTTAGTTTCCTAAACTTGGAGTTGTTCGTAATTAACTGATCAGCGAAAAGAGTAAACCCTGGTTATCAGATCGGATGTCCGCAGCGCAGTTGAGAGTCGCATCGAAGATCAAGTACCCCATTGTTCACCAGCCTCAGGATAAAATGAATCATCAGTTCGATTCATTCATTCAAGTCATTTTGTTGTCGATGACGAGAGGCATGATAACACGCAGTCAGTAATGGCATCACTTTCCAGGACGACTGTAACGCAAAGCAAAAGTAAGAGCACTGAGAGAAAACAGTAAATTGTGTGATTTTTTCGCTTGTGAAAAAATGTGAATACGAATTGTCAAGTGCCAATACTCACTTGTTTGACGCAAATGATCAGGTTTGCAGACAGCGACCTCAGCGCAACCCTCACCAGGTTCGATGGGCTTCAGAAAGTGAGAAGGCTAACGTTTTATGTTTTGTTTGGCTTGTGTTTCGCCTCATTAGCTTTACGGGCCTCGTGTAACTTTCCTCTGTCTATTCAATAAAGATCTCATCTCCAGATCCCTCAAGTTTCTCGCAGTATGTAGCCGTATACCTCGTGAGCACACAGTACAACATGTGGTAGCCCAACACCATAAAGCCTGTAAACATTCTTACATAAGACCTTGATCTAACAACTCTGATCCTCAACCTCTTGAATCTATTAGATCTTTTTCTTCTTCATTCATCCGTTCTGGGTAAAAACACGCACACACAGAGAAACCGAATGTTGCTAGCGTTGTTACTTAGCTGGACTTACAAACTCAGAACCACTTACATGTGACCTGAGTACTATTTTATCTAGAACAGATCATTGCTTGTTGTAATGATGCTGTTGTTATTGATTCTTTTCTTATCGCTCCTCCGCGCATTACGTGATGCACAGTGGTTACGTGGTTGCTGAACATTTATCCATCGAGCTGACTATGCACCAAAAATGTAATGCATGTTCCCTGACTACTCACGTGCACAGGAATGCGACGCAACTCCGTGGTGAAGGTCAACCGCTGCAGACTGGGGAAGTCGGGACAAACAACACGGTCGGGATGATGACATGCCTGTTTCATTTGGTCTTTGGCCAGCATGACGCGATCACGGAAGAAACTGTAATCCATTTGGACAACATGGGTCTTTGTGATTGTAAAATTTTGCGGTTCTGCGGCCGGATAGAAGAAATGCGTCTTATGTTTGTTGCGTTGTCTTTCTTGTTTGGTTAGATTGGCATCCATCGGGCGCATCGCATCTAACAGCCGTTTTTCGTCAAGAAAAGGAATGAGCTGGCGGGGATATGGAAAATAGATGGAAAGATAGCAGTGCAAAGTGAGGGCGTGTAACCAGAGAACAATATGCTCTCTGCGTGTGTGTGAACCATGGACAAAAAGGAGATACCTTGCGGTTTCAGGAAATGAATGAAACAGCACGGCAAGTAATTGGGGGGGGGGCACAGTTATCTCGGTTTCAATGATACACTGCGCAATTAGTAAAATCGATAATCCCAGACCAATTGATTTGAATAACATCACGTACGAAAAATATGGTTTGAGGGTTTGAATTGCACATTTATTGTTACCTTATGTGACCTCATGGAACATTTTATATCAGACTTGTGTCAGCAGGCGAAACAATTCCTACGAAGCATAAGGATTGGTCATGAGACGCGAAGACCAGGGATGGATGAAGCCCGGAAGTGTATTTCAATCAATTATGATCATGTAACGAAATATGAGGGTCCTCCAGCAAATGAAAAGACAGAATGGGGACCGATGATGTGGGGAATCAAATAGTTCATAGGTGAAAATCACAGTTTGAGTGTATCGTTCGCTGGGACTGTAGAAGAGAACGGTCACCTCCGGTTTATAGCCGGTTCAATATCCACAGATGTCCAACTTGGTTTAGCCCATACCACCGCTACAAGTGTCGCTAACTAATGATTGGGTTTCCGCTCGGTAAACGCATTCCTAAAGGTCACGCAAAGGTTGCGCGAGATCCCCAAGAACTAAGGGGGGGGGGGTGATCAGGTCNTTAATCGAAGCATTACGCGTTACCGAAGCTGTGTCAATCGGCAAGGTTAACCCAACTCTGAGCATGCAAAAACTGATGGTGGCTATTTTCACCTTGGTATTGTGACATTTACCCACGACCCAGTTAATTACCTTTCACCCCATGATCGCTCCTCATCCTTTCGGAATTTATTTCTTGAGTTTAGCCCCCCAACATAACCCTCGTTTTCGGTACATGATCATAACTGATTGACTTCTCCATCCAGACTCTAACCATTCCCGGCCCTCGCTTCCCATTCCTTACTCTTATGCACTGACAGCTTACAAACCAACACCAGACGAGGTAGGACAGATTATCCCTTGAGATGGTAACTGAATAAATGCATGTGTTATGACAATTTGCTTACCACAACCGCTTCCCAAGAAGCGATCTTCCCATTGATATCAGTGGAAAACTTTTCAGGGAAGAATTCCGCCAAAGGTGACGTCGGGGACGTCATAAGGGTTCGATAAGCGGATGGCACAATATAAGCCGCGTCCGTCGGCATGATCATCAACTGCTGGATGAAGGGGAGCACAGGTTCAGACGTAGAGTCGAACTCGGCCCATTCCAATTCGGATCCAGCTGGATCCCGGTTAAGAAACTGTTGGGTGTAGAGCAACAAATCACATGCGAATGGAGCATAGTGATAAGCGTAGAAAAAGCTCCAATCGGGGACTTTAAGGAAATAGTAACATAAAATCCATTGAAGCATGCGTACATAATCGCGCACGAGGGGGTAAAGACTCTCGGTGTTAGTCACAGATTCCGAATCAATTTGAATGCCCAATTTCGACCAGTAGTAGTCACGTCTATGCATCTTGTAGATGAGTTCATCCTCACCATCCAAACCTTGTTCATCTGCTTCCTCCTCGGCAGACAGGGATTGACCTAACTCCGGAGACGATTCGGGTGGTTGAGCGGTATGGCAAATTTCGTTGGGTTGTTGGTTTTCTTGCAACGGTGTGGCCGGGATGACACCTTCTTTCATCAATTCTGTTGTTTCGTCTAGAAAGCCTGCCTGAAACATGTCGTTCGAGGTGGATCCGAAGAAGTTGGTAAGCGCTGCCAACTGGGACAAATCGGACGCCGGATCTGGGGAGACAAAAAAAGAAAGAACACGGTTTTTGGCTATCATGATCACAATGATCCCTTGGTCTTGTCTGAAAATTAGAAAATTAGCATCAGCAGAGAAATAAATGCCAAGTATGATTGTGAGTATGATTCATTGATTAAGTACAGCGGGAGGCTCCCCGTTCTCTCTATACAATCAAAGAACGGTTAACTAAAGATTTCAAGTCCTGAAGTTTATGGAGGGTCGAGGAGATTGTGTGATGTGTTTTCACAGCTGTTCATCCTCCTTGTAGGCCAAAAACACATCGATTATGATAACCGTACCATCTCATTCGAAATATTATTCCTTCTGAATTGTGTGCCCACTCTTGCGAAATGTTTGGTTTATCATGAAACGTGCTGCACATTCAAACAGTCGGTGAAGCACTGGAAACAAGCTTGTTTACTAGGCTGCGTTCTCGTGAATTACGAGGTTTGAAAAACCATACTGTTCCATACCTTGAAACCGTTATCAGTGGTAATACAAACTACTTCAGGTGTGAAACAATTCCGTTTAGTGGTCTGAGGGCAAGGGAGTGACGTCGTGCTCCCATGACAGCCGCTGCGCTGTTTAGTTAAACATGATGATTCTACTCTCAAAAGTGCTAGCTTACCATACTGTTCGCGAATAGATTTCATCAGCATAGTTAGAGAATGTGCGTGGGTGGGAGCAATACACGGTATCAATTATACTTGATCACTCAAGTTCGTCAGAGATAATTTTTGAAATACTTTTTTCAATAATTCCGTGAATGTAAGCTAGTACACCGATATACATTGCATGACTGTCAGACCTGAGCAGACGGACCAGGGTAGACATAATGTAGACACAAGTTAAGATGTCAGATGTCAACCAGGTACCAAATATAGCAATAATATTACAACGACCATTTGGCAAACGCGGCTTCACCTCGGAAAATTTGCTTGAACAAAGTTGGGTATTTGTATGAAGACAGGTCATGCATGATTTTTCCGACCACTTCACGGTTGAGATGGCCAATTAAACCACCCTCGCAAACAAACAGAGGATATAAATCTATTTCGTTTTTCTAGAGCAGCATTTTACAGACGAACGGTTCAAATAACGAACAACGACTTGTAAACTGATGTATGAACTACAAGAGTAAAATAACTCATGTGAGAAATCATACCGCTTGTCTCTTCGGTCGGAACGTGTTCACACTTGGCGACTGATGTTTCAGGCTTTCGGACAGTTGATGGTTTCGGATCTTTTCCCAGATTCTCCAACTGTTTGGACAACTGAGCTCCGCGTTTACCACGCATCCAGCGATGGTCTGCCTCACGTTCTTCGAACCAAGATTGCTCGAACTTGACAAAGAGAATAAAACAAAAAATTCAACCGCCTATTATCAGGAGGTGCATTCGTTTTATTTGTGTTAGGATGTGAAAACCGTGTCCATGGAATTCAGATTCGTTGGACCGGACGCGGACCTTCAGTGAGCCATGATTTATGCACATCGCCGCATGGTAAGCTAACCGCTTATTGTGGCAACGGTTACACTAGAATGTCACTCGCAAACAAATCAAGTATTGATTTCATTTCTGCTAAGATGCTTGTTTTTAGTACACACTTTTAGTGTGATGAACAGCAGACGGAGTAAACTCCATAGTCACGAGGACCTGCTGTGCAGTGATGGAAAACGGTAACCTAAGGCTCGGGACTTGGAGTGGCGAACCACACAAGGCTCCGATAAGTTAGATGTGGTATTGAACCGGACGACAGCAAAGCCGTAAGCGGTGGAAGAACTCGAGCCTCAGATCACAGGGTCCGAAGTACACCAGTGACAGCGACTAAACCACTACGCCACCACGCTCGTATAGGGATTGTAGAAACATGCAGTCTGCAGTCAGACCAGTGTCCAAATACAGATAGAAAATAAGTTGACGGAATGGAGTATCGGTAACAGTGAAATAAACCATGGGAGTAAGACATATTATTGCAGGAGCATCGAATGAAGTCAGGGAAACGACAGTCTCAACTATGGAACTGTCATATAGGATAGGTGTGTTATGGCGTCCGGCAGTGGTGAAGTTTGACACCACATAGGTGGGGGATTACATTGATTTAGATAGGTTAATTCAACAAGTTAATTGGTACTGAACATGATTCCTCGATAACATACGGAACGAAAATTCAGAACGAAATACCATCTAAATAATAAACGCACTAATCAACTGTACCTTGGACAGCTCCTCCAAATATCGATGAAAACGTGCAAGATGCAAACGACCATACTCAATGATGTAACCTGAGAGACCAACAGGGAAAAAACAAATACTTAAATTTGAGAAAGTTTCAGAAACAGCGCTAACGGGAGTTAACCAGCTAAGGGCTTTTTAACAGCAGTGTTGTTACACGGTGTAGACTGACTTTTTCTTTTTCATTTTTACTTCCTTCTACTGAATATAAAAGATACAATTTTCAGGAAAGGAAAAGTAGTCAATCAAAGGGCTGTCGTACAACACACAATGGTGAAAACCAGGCGGTGCTAGTGGGATTCGAACACACGGTCTCCGCAGTGATAATTTGGCGACGTTACCACTAGCAAAATTAGGTGGTCTCTGTTCAAAGAAAATCGTTTAAACAGTCTCGCAATTCAGTCGAATACAGAATCGAAAGGACAAATGATACGATACATTAACCACAGAAAGCGAACAGACCGCCCCACGTTGTGGTGAAGTGTAAACATACCGTTAGTTAGAACTCATGACACTTTTTACTTGCAAGCTGCGTGTGCATCCGAGCACTGCACGTCCTCATTGCTCAAGCGAAAGGACAACCGAGAAACGGTAACCGGGACTCGGAAAAGAAAGGTTAATGGCTGTGAAACATTACGCAAAATGTTCACACTTCACATTCTAGCTGTTGATAACTTTACTGATATTTCTGCACCATGCCTTGAATGTTTTGATACCAACGCCCGTTCGGGATTGCTAACATAGGATAAAACAGAGCATTCAAGACGCGAAACTTGTCGAGCATAAGAAGCCGGTCGTAACGCGGGCAACTGGTTGCACTACAACACCACCTT